AAGAACACCTCCAGGTCGAGAAGCGGTTGTTGTCGCCAGCCACAACAGGGATGGGGCCATTCAAAGTGAACATCTACTTGCTCATCCTCAAGGATTGCCTCCTTGATGAACTGGTTCACATGCCATAGCATTCTCCGCTCCTTCCTTCGGCTTGTTTCCAGCTTGGCCCTCTTTTCTTCAGTGTTGTAGTTCACAACAGACCACTGGCTCCATTTCGTGCACGGAAGGGAGAACCACAGCTTCTTTGGCCGACGTAGACGTCGTAGATCTCGAAGACGTTCCCAGGTGCGAGGATCATAAAGATCGTAGCCGGCCGCCAGGTTGATGCGTCGAGGCCGGAGTCCATGTTCCTCAGCTGCCTGACTTAACCAGCTGTGGGGCGCGCAGGCAATCTCCCAGAGACCATCATCTTCACCCAAGTGAAGTCCAGCCAGCAATGAAGTAGTCGTCGCCGTCATCAGGGCTGCCATGGCCATGACCTTCTTGCCAATGTAGAGGGGCGTCGACGTTGTGCTGCATGAGGACCGTGTCGATCTTGTAGCCTTTAGAACTGGTCGTGGTTCTCGTTCTCGTAGGCCTGAATCAGCTCGTCGTCCTCCTGGGCCACATCCCATGATGCCGTAGTCGCCGAGGTCGTTCCGCCCGGCGTGGGACTCGTTGGATAGGAGGTCGTCGTTGGAAGATGCCCCGTCAGCAACTCGCGCACGGAGCGCTGGAGGACGATGTCGGCCGTCACCTTGTTCATGGCGTGGTGGCAGATGGTCGCTGTGGGGCGAACCTCCCCCAGGTGGGTACGCAGCTCGTTCAGCATCCGCTTGACAGTGCTGGGATGCACCGTTGCCATGGTGCTCGCTGGTGAGCCCTTCCTGGGCGTGTAGAGGAGCCTGAGGTTGCAGCACTGGCATGACACCCACTGCCCATGTTGGTTCGCTTGCGGAGGTGCAGGCGTGTGCTTGTTGAAGCACGGCCATTGATGGACATGGGTCCTTGGATCTCGGGGGTCCGCCTTCATCCGTCGCTCCACATCCAGTGAGCGAGGTCGTTGTTTCGGCTTGGCCTTGGCCTTCATGGCGGCTGCCATGATCGATTCGGCCTCGGGGTCGATGGTCGGCGCCGTCTGCGAGGAGCGCGCCATGAGTCCGCGAAGAGGAAGTTGACGAGGGGATAGGGGCGCGCGAGGCACCACGCATTTGAGCTGTAGCAGCTGAGGAGGTGGACGTTATCGACTGCGCATGCTGGTACATCATCCACATCCTAGAGCGAGCAATCTCCAGTTCATGTTCATGCGGCTCACGTTCGCCCACTGCCAGATCAAACTACACGGTGGCAAGCTCAAGATACTGATGTTGCAAGGGGGCTGAAGAGGTCTTTGAGGAGAGAGGACCATTCTTGCGTACTATCACATGAGCTTGCCCTGTACTGCGCACATGACCACGAGTTAGGTGATGAACAATGTCCAAGGTGAGGTGACCCTTCTTGTTGATATCAAGCTGGAAGATCTTGGGGTTGGGCTCCTTTGTCTTCATAGCAAGACCTGTGGTGAAGTCCATCATCATGCCAGTACCTTGGGGGCCTAGAAAGTCCATGCCCACGAGGATGGGAACCAAAGAGGCCTTGTCGAAGGGGGACTGATAGTACTCGGAAGGATTGGGGAGCGTGTAAAGGGAGAAATGTTGTTGCACTCCAGAAGCATCGCTGTAGATGTGGGTTCTACACAACGCTCGCCCCCACTTCCCATTCCCAAACCTGAAGTACGGTCGCGAGGCCTGATCGAGCTCCACACGTGCTCCTCGATCTACTGAAAGAACTGCACTGATGAGGCCCTGTACAACTGCCTCCGGTGCTGCCGAGGCTGTTGCCCCGCAATCCAACATGCCGACCTTCACTTGGTCCGAGGGACCATGCGTATCGGCGGAGTTCAGCTCGAGGGTCTCGTTCAGGTCCTCGCTGAGCTCAAGGCCACCCACGAAGTAGTCAGTCGCATAGGCGTTCACCGTGCGACTGGGCTCCTTGCCCTTGGATTTTGACTTGCCCTTCCCCTTCATCCACTGTGCTTCCAGCCACATTCCCTTCTTGCCTTTTCCACGTCCTTTGCCCTTGCCCTTGCCGATGTAGTGGAGGTCGTGGTAGTCCATGGCATAGTTGGGCCAAGACTCGGCAACGTACGAGGAGAACTTGCCGCGGCCCTTGTGGAATCCGGGATGCCTGCGGTCGGGACACTCTCGAACAAAGTGGTTGCCGCCGCAGTTGAAGCACTTCGGAGCATTGCCACCCTTTGTCATGTTGACCGCGCCGAAGCCCCGATCACGACGAAGGGCTTGGGTGGCCCTTTGGGCCTCCGACCATGTCCTGTTGGCCTCAGCAGCCAAACTCTCAGCCACTTGCTCGGCCTTCTGCGCCTCCTTGAGCTTCTCGGAGGCACCATCATCATCTGTGCCAGCAAGAGGCGAAGGCCCTTCTGCAGCGGCGGCCCATTCATCCTGCCACCAGTCCCATGCTCGTTGGGGTAGTCCTGGTCCGTGTAGTAGTCATCGTACCACCACTCATCCTCAGGCCACCAACGCTCGTGGTAGTAGTCGTCGAAGTCCACCTGCTCGGAGACGTGGAGGTTGTGATCACCTTGACGCCCCCGGTGACCCAACAACTGATCGTCCCACAAGTTCTGCAAGGCAGCCGCGATGACCTCGTAGTCCAGGCTGTTCTTGGTGGTCGACAAGATGTCCCGCTTCTCCTCCGCCGAAAGGCCCGCGGCTTGCAACAGCCGCCATCCTCTTAACACGCTCATGATGAAGGAGTCCGCCACGGCCAGCTCATCAATGGCTTCCAAGGGAGCAGGCCCATCAGGATGACCAGCCGGAAGAAACGTCACCCCTTGTCGGTCACTGCCAGCACCGCGGTTGCTTGGGGAAGATCCAGTCGCTCCGGGAGGACCACTTACATCAGGCGCTCGCCCTTCAGGTAGTCGAGGATCGCCTTCTGGAGCAGCATCTTCACCGCCGTGGCCAGGTTCCTCTCCATCATCGCCAGCCTCGCCGTAGGTCTCTTCATCCTCCCACCAGCCCCAAGCAGCTCCAGCCCACGCTTCATCGTCCCACTCCTCTTCCGGAGGGAGACCAAAGTTCCTTTGGTCTTGGGACAGCCCAAGCTTCTCCTCATGAAGCCTAATCGGGCCTAATCAGGGCCTCCGTGAACTCCTCCTGGACCAGTGTCTCACGAACCAGAAAGCTGCCGATCGTTTCGTGGGGCTGGCGCTTGAAGGCGAAGTACTGCTGGCAGATCGCTGCCGCATTCGGCAGGGACTTCCGCACCAAAGGTGAAGCCGCAAGCTTCTGAAGAAGCAGCTTCGTTCCTGACGGAGAATCCACCACCAGCTTGGACCAAGACATGGCAAGGAGACGGGCAGGGCCAGTAAGGCGTCCAAGAAGCTGCGAGGCGCAGTAGCGCCGTTTGTGGACTGGTGTCCCCTGAAGATACCAGGCCACTTCCCTCGTGTATCTCCGCCAAGTTCGAGCCGATCCGTCCCAGGAGGGGACCGTGGATCTTTCCTTGCTGTCGGCCATGCCGCAGTCAAACTGTATCTCAAAGGAAAACTGAACGCCAGACCAAGTGGCGCCGGAGCAGCTCTAAGCTCAACAGTTGTTGCCGATCTTGCCCTTCGGGAAGTCGGTAAGGCTCTGGAGCGGACTGCTCCGCTACCATGCTGCGGGGTAGCCGCAGGTAGCGTGTGATTGGGCTCTGACTCGTGAGGTTGTCGGGTTTCAAGTGGGGAGCTCTCTCTCACGTAAGTGCACACAGCACTCCTTTTCCAGTGGCGCACAGGCGCGCCGTCCGTGGCTCAGGTTGCCGTCAGAACCGGCCTAGAAAAAGGGGCCCCTTGGTCTAAGCCTATACATCACGGGTTGCGCACAACTGATACATGAACTGACACATCAAGGCTTCACAATTCGCAGAAACCCAAGAGGATATGAACAAATATTATGTTTGTGAAGGTTCTAAGTTCTAAGGGGAGTATAGTTGCTGGGTAGGTAAAACCCCAACTCTAGCGGTACTTAAAAGCCCCACAAAGTCATCTAAGTAGGCTACAAGGTACCCATATGAACCTCCAAGTAGGGAAATTGGGGAGCAGGGGGGAGGAGGCGCGCGGAACCGAATAATTGTGTGGGTCCAGGGCTTTTGGGAGTGCCTGAGCTTCGTGCCTAGGACCCAGAGCAGGCCCCCTCTTTTCTTTTTTTCACGGGTTTAGGTTCCCTTATGAGCCCCTTTAAACCAAAAAGGGGGGCTCTGTTTATTCCTAGGCTACTCTCCCTAAACCCTGATGCCCTAAGCCTCAAACCCTTAAGCTCCTGAACCCCCACCCCAAACCCTGCCCCCAAGCCCTACTTGCAGGTTCATGGTACTTATTAGCCAATTATAATAACTGCACTTATGACCATATTAGGGCATTTAAGGGTTTAGGGTTTAGGGTTTAGGGTTTCGGGTCTAGGGTTTAGGGAAGTACCATGAACCTCCACGTAATGCCCTAAACCCTAGACTCGAGCTTGTGGTGAGGGGCTCCGGACGGCAGGGTTTAGGGTTTAGGGTTTAGGGTTTAGGGTTTAGGGTATAGGGTTTACAGGTATCAGATCTAATGTGGGTTTTGGGAATCAGTCAGGGCCTGGGGTGTTAGGGGTTTAGGATTTCAGGGTTCAAGGTTTATGGGTCTAAGTGCGGTTTTGAATACTGTGGAGTCTCTTGATCTTGACTTTCTAGCTGGGATCTTCGGCTTTGTCGATTTCTTGGAGACCTGCCCTCAGGGTTTAGGTTTAGGGTTTAGGGTCGAGTCTAGGGTTTAGGGTCGAAGCCTGATTGCATGTTGTTGGGGGCTGCCTCAACAATAAGGGTCGGGTTTAGGGTTTAGGGCTTAGGGCTTGGGGCTTAGGGCTTAGGGCTTAGGGCTTAGGGTTTAGGGTTTAGGGTCTAGGGTTTAGGGTTTAGGTAGTGCAATCCTTTTTGTTGCTGAGGACTGGCCGCGGCTGGGTCTCCCCTTGAAGCTGGAACAGGCTGGGGGACCCCCCATTGTGAGGCCAACTAGTTAACCCTAAACCCTGAACACAGGGTTTCGGGCTTCAGGATTTAGTTACAGTTTTTACCGGTTGCTTTGGAAACTTGAGGTCCTTAGACTCTAAGATTTACAGGGTTTAGACCAATCGTGATTAGGCCGTGTAAAACCCTTAGCCCTAAGCCCTAAGCCCTAAGCCCTAAACCCTCCGGTTGTTTGGGAAGGGTGGAGACGCACACCGCTTGAAAGCGGAAAGGATAAGGTCAGGGTTTACGGCTCAGGGCCCTAAACCATGGCAAGCAGGACCCCTTTGTGCCCTAGAGGCCTCTATCGTTTTTCTTGCTGCTTGAGAGGCTTTAACCCTAAATCCTAAACCCTAAATCAGGAGGTCCTGTAAACCCTGAGCGCGATAAACCCAACGAACCCCCCAAACCCCCAAAACCCACAAAACCCCCAAACCCTCGGCCAAATCCTTTAGGCCCCTCTGGGTTTAGGGGTTTAGGGTCCCCTGAGACGTTCTGTGACGCAGGTCCTCCGCAGACAAATCGCCGCTTGAGTGCCCTGCCGTCAGGCAGGCTGGGCATGGATAGGGTTCAGGGTTCAGGGTTTAAGGGTTTAAGGGTTTAAGGGTTTAAGGGTTTAAGGGTTTAAGGGTTTAAGGGTTTAAGGGTTTAAGGGTTTAAGGGTTTGAGGGTTTAAGGGTTTAAGGGTTTAAGGGTTCAAGGGTTTCAGGGTTTCAGGGTTTAAGGGTTTAGGGTTTTGGGTGTCGGACACAATCAGATTTAGGCCTGGGGTTAGGGGTCACGACTTCAACGGCGCTCAGGCTGGTTTGGGTTGAGGGCTCAAGACTTCAGGTTCAGGGCGATAGGCCTTTGGCCCAAAGGCCCCCGAAAACCCCGAAGCCCTCCCAAACCCTACGCTCGAAACCCACAACCTAAACCGTTTGCTGGGGAAGCTAAGAAGATCTTAAGCCAAGTGCCTGGCTTGTTGCCTCCTCATGGAGCCCGAGGAAACCCCGACCTCCTAAACACTAGGTAGGGTCCTGGGAGATTTCATCGTTTCCCTGTTGTTGGGTTTCAGAGGATCCTTTTCAGGAATATTTCTCAGATGATCTTATAAGCGCATTCTAGCTCTAGCTCGGGTCTGGGATTTAGGGTTCAGGGTTTTTACCCTCAGTTCCTGAAAGCTCCACACCCAAGGCCCGAAAACCCAACACCGAAAGCCGAGACCTTCAACCACACTAGGGGCGCTTGAGGGGCTTATGAGTGGGTGATAAGGACAGGTATCTGAGTGGTAGAGAAGTACCCTAAACCCTAAACCCTAAACCCTAAACCCTAAACCCTAAACCCTAAACCCTAAACCCTAAACCCTAAACCCTAAACCCTAAACCCTAAACCCTAAACCCTAAACCCTAAACCCTAAACCGAAGCACCAACACCCTCGATAAGACAAGGCCGTATCACTGTGGTCAACGAGACTTTGGCGTCGTTACACCCCGCGCAGCCTCAAGGGCGAAGCGGCTTTACGTAGGGTTTGGGGGGTTTAGGGTTTAGGGTTTAGGGTTCAGGGTTCAGGGTTCAGGGTTCAGGCTTCAGTTGAGGAACTTACAGTATACCCCCCCCCCCCCCAAGTTGGGCTCGGCTATATCAGACGTCGGCTCTCACGACAAAGTCCCGCTCCCTCACGAGCTCTACACGGTTTACGGTCCTTTTCGGCAGTGGTGGGGATTGTAGTAGCCCTACAAATATCAGTATACGATGCCACTTTTGGGGGTTGATTTAATCCCTACGTCCCTACGTGTTCGGTCCGCCAACGATGCTCCGAGCCTGCGTGGCGCTTGGCAAAGTGAGGCGCCTCTGCATGTGGAATTCGACGACTGCGGCCTGCGTTGGAGTATGCCGGGGCACACTAAGAGCTCTTTTCAAATTTCGGGGTCGGCGTAAAGACTATATAATGGTGTTCCCTTATGGTCCCTATATACTTATACTTCTACTAGAATAACCCCAAAAACCCTATTCCCCTCATTCAGGCCCCTATTGACCGAAGTCTACGTAGATCTCATGTCGGTGGCTCCTGGCTCAGTGCCCCTGCACAGAAGAAAGCCGGCCCCCAACCAGGAACCCTCGCGCCCTAACCAGACGAGGGTTTAGGGTTTAGGGTTAAGCAGGGTATGGTGTAGCTCTTTAGAGATTTGGGGGGTGTTGCCCTCCGCGAAACGCAAAGAGAATTGACCCCATGTTTGGACGAGGGGTTAGCGTCTAGGGCTTACGGTTCAACAGTTTACGGTGTAGCTCTTTAGGGAATCGGAACGCCATGAACTTATGGTAGGATTTGACCCCATGTTAGCCGGACTTCGAAGTTGTGGCCGGCATGCTGCTCTGCGATGCTCTTTGGGGTCAAAGAATCGCCCCAGCTTGCGAGGCCTTGCGAAGGAAAACAGGAACGAACCTAAACCCTAAACCCGAAACCCGAAACCCGAAGTTTTAAACCCTAAGCCCTAAACCCTAAACCCTAAGTTTAGGGTTAGGAGGCGTTTTTCAGGGCATCCTAGGGTTCACCGTAAAACCCTAGTTAGGGTTTGTGCTCGGGGGGGGGGGGGGGATACCAGGGTGCGAAAGCGAAGCATTGCATGGAGTCGGATACCATGGGGGGGGGGGGGTTAGGGCCTGCGTATATGGGGTGTTCTTCTTGCAGAGTTTTTGGGAGATGCTAGCAAGTAAAATCCTGCCTCCTATGGGGCCGGTCCTAAGTGATGATCGCTGTCATAGGGAGGCTAAGGCCCCTCCGTCCACCCCCCCACCCCCCCCTTCCCAAAGACCCCTGTGAGCAAGTTCCTTGACCAAACCCTATAAGCCCGAAACCCTACACCCGAAACCCTAAACCCTAAACCCTTGAACACCCTAAACCCTTGAACACCCTAAACCCTTGAACACCCTAAACCCTAAACCCTAAACCCTCACCGCACCCGTCTGCAGAATTTGGCTCCAACTCCATCAGGAGCACGAAACCTGGAGTGCCCTCATTAGTCGAGTCTGCCACTTCAGCAATGTCCGGCACTTAGTGCAGACAGTGGGTTTACGGGTCAGGGTTTAGGGTTTAGGGTCTCGGGTTTAGGGTCTAGGGTCCATGGTCTAGGGTTTAGGGTCTCGGGTGTCGGGTTTATAGGGTTTAGGTGTTAGGGTTTAGGGGTCTTAAGGATTGAGGGGTTTAAGCGTCCATAGTATGAGTCTACAAGTTTTGGGTTGTTTGGGTTTAGGGGGGCTTGGGGATTCACAGTAGACCCGTATATCCTTGCACGGCGTCATGTTCCCTTCAGCCTGTTGAAACTTAGAGTTCTGGAGATGGGGAGGGTTCAGGCTCAAGGGTTGAGCGTTGAGGGTTTAGGGGTTTTGCGGGGGGGCTTCGGGTTTAGGGTTTAGGGTTTAGGGTTTAGGGTTTAGGGTTGGCCAAGGTGTCGGGGGGGCTTAAACTTTAGACAGGTACCCGAACGACGGCAGGGGGGTCGCCTCACAACGGGCACGGCACCCTTGTTGGAAGAATGGATCAGCCCTGTGGAGCTTTTTGGCTTAGGGTTTAGGGTCTGGAGTTGAGGGTTTCGGGTTTACTGTAGGGTTTAGGGTTTAGGGTTTAGGCCCTAAGCTTGCCAGTTTTGCCTCCTAAACCCTAAACCCTAACCCTAAACCCTAAACCCTAAACCCTAAACCCTAAACCCTAAACCCTAAACCCTAAACCCTAAACCCTAAACCCTAAACCCTAAACCCTAAACCCTAAACCCTAAACCCTGCCCTTTTGGGCTCCAGTGCTTTGGCAGATGTCAGCCAAGGACCATCCAGGCCGTGTCTCGATTGCGCAGCCGCCTTGCCAGGACCCAAGAATCCAGACAGCCCAGTACCTAAACCCTAAACCCTAAACCCTAAACCCTAAACCCTAAACCCTAAATCCTAAACCCTAAACCCCAAACCCTAAACCCTAAACCCTAAACCCTAAACCCTATGCATGAATAGTTCTTCTGTTCACCATCTGGTTTCAGGTTTGTCGGGGTATTGGGCCTCCCCGGAATATTGCCTCATGGCATTGGCAAGGTAGCTAGGATGTGTGGTGTAGGGCATAGAGTTTAGGGGTTAGGGTTTAGGGTTTAGGTAGAGTTTGGGCTTAGAGTTTAGGGTTCGGTTTAGGGTTTAGGGTTTAGGGTTTAGGGTTTAGGGTTTGCGGCTCAGGGCTTAGGAGGTCGTGCTTATAAGGTCTGGGGTTTAGGCCTTCGCTGTTTAGAGGGCTTTAGGGTTTGGGAGTACGGCTTCAGAAGGGCAGCCCGAAACACCTGGAAGGCCTCTGGCAGAACAGACGGCTGCAGAGAGAGAGAGAGAGAGTGACATCTACATGTTTGTACATATGTTGTGAATCAATGTCATGTATGTGCAAAAGCACATATGAATACTCGTATTCTTCATCATGAAACCCTAAACCCTAAGCTATCAGGGTTTTGGGTTTAGTGACGAAGCGCGGGCCTCAGTCCTGCCATGAAGCAACTATCAGGGTCCTCTTGAGCGTAGCTACCACTTCATCTTCCACGCAACATATTGACAGATTGTGGCAACACCGACCCTGCACCCCCTCAACTCTGGACCCGACTTACTCGGTTTAGGGTTTAGGGTTTAAGTTTTAGGCTTCAAGGTTTCTTCCCCTCCCTCCCACCGCCTTCCAAAAACTCAACAACAGAATCCCAAATGACACTCTGTGCCTCTTGGACCCAGAACACCCCTTTCGATAAACGCCCTGAACCCGAAAATGCTGGGGCTGTTGCAAGTAAGGGTCCCGAAACCCTGAACCCTGAACCCTGAACCCTGAACCCTGAACCCTAAACCCTAAACCCCAAACCCTAAACCCTAAACCCTAAACCCTAAACCCTAACCCCTAAACCCTAAACCCTGAGCTGCCACCAAGTCCGAGCTGATGGCTCATGTGAATTCGGCTTCGGAGACTAGATCCCTGCATCTTGGTCCG